AAGGAGAGACAGGTAGAGGAAGCTCAGCTCTGCACAGAGGCATCCAGGCAGCTGCTGGTAATTGTGAGTCAGTGTATGTGGTTCAGTCGGTATGTGTGTGGGGGGGCCAGTCTGTATGTGTATGGGTCGGTCTGTGTGTGTGGGGCTCAGTTTGTGGGGGTCTGTCTGTGTGTGGGGGATCAGTCTGTTTATTGGGTGCCATGCTTCACGTGGCGGCAGGCTTTAATGTTTCCTGGGCAGCTTAGCAAAGGGCTGACAAATGCCAGGTGCCAGGGTGAAACTACTAGTCGACCTGGCGCCTGGAATTTGTTGAGCCCTGTGTTTATATATATATATATATATATAAAATAATCAACTGCCAGCACTCCTGGATTTCAACAACAATTTGGTTTATTGTCATGAGTCAATGTTTCAGTTCCTAGCTTGGAACTTTCATCAGGACACAAAGAAAATATCTTACAAATAACAGGCTTTTATTCAGAATTAACAAGAGAAATAATTACTCACCATCATCAGCTGGCTGCTCGCCATGTGGAATGGCTATACCGGAATTTGGACGCTTAATTGAACCACCTAAGTGATTCCCCATATGCCGTGGGCTAGGGCCACCTCCTCACTACATACTTCCGGCTTCTATGCGTTGCCCTGGATGCCGTCGATAACTATCGGCTATTGGTTGCTCTGAGGGCCGCTGACGTCAAACAGAATCTGTGTGTGGATCCCGCCTCACGTGTAATAGGGCGAGTTTCCAAGGCGCCAGTTTCACAAGATGAAATACAGCTGAATTCCAACCTTAGACAATCTGCCAAGTTACTGGACCAGGAAGGTCCACTAAGAACTATAGGTTGAACCATATATTAGCTGCATCAGTTAGATTAAGTTGAACATAGTGGTTAGGCATATGCATGGGAAAAAAATTTGATTCGGTTCGGCATTCCGAAATTCGGGACTTCGGCAATTCGGGACTTCGACAATTCGGAACTTTGGCACTTCGGCACTTCGGAACTTCAGCACCTTGACACTTTGGCCACTTCGGAACTTCGGAATTTCTGGTGTTCGGCACTTGGGGACTTCTCTTGCAGCCGCTTAGTAGATATCTCCCTAATTCCCACAGTATTAAGTAATTATCTACCAAAAGGCTGAAAGACCTAAATTGGTCTTTCAGCTAAATTTACTAATACTAAGTAAAAATTACTAAACATTAGTAAATATTGCCTCTACTTGCTATACCGCGAGTAGGGGCATGTCTATTAATCAGTGAGCAGCCTCTAGCTGCTCACTGTTAAAAAAAAACAAAAACGGGTCCCCTAAAACGAGATCTATTGCCCCCCCCCCGGCTCCCACCCCTGAGCAGTGGGTGGGGGCCCTAAAGTAAAATAATAGGGGGGACCTATTGTCCTTCCCCCGGCCCCCACCCCTGAGCAGCGGGTGGGGGCCCTAAATCAGAATAAGGGGGTGGGGTGGGTGGGGCCCCTAAATTATGGTAAATGTAGAGACTTACCTGTCAGTCTCTTCATTTACCTGTCAGAGCACTCTGGTTGGATGGCTTAAACCCACCAATCAGAGTGCTCTGAGCCTAATTGCAGGGCGGGGCAAGGCTTTATAAGCCTGCGCGGAGCCCTCCATGGGTGAAGATGGATTATTATTTTTTTGCGCTCGTTTTTTTTTTTTTTTTTAAGTGTGTCGGTTATTATAGATTTTTATTTTGTCTTTTTTGGGGCTGAAAAAATAAGATTTTAGAAGAAAGAAGACATCAAATGGTAAGTCTATTTTTTTTTTTACAGGTATTTAGACAAGGGTCCCACCTCATTATTTTTAGGATGGGGGGGGGTAGGTAGGTAGTTTTTTTTGGGAGGGGGGTGACTAGGGGTTTGGGGACCCCTAGTCACCTGGGGGGGGATTTTTATTTATGGCCCCCACCCACTACTCAGGGGTGGGGGCCGGAGGGAGGACATTAGGTCCCCCCCTTATTGTTATTTAGGGCCCTCACCTGCCGCGCACTGGTGGGATCCGGGGGGAGGTCATTAGGTCCCCCCCTTATTGTTATTTAGGGCCCCCACCCGCCACGCAGGGGTGGGGGCCAGGAGGAGGACATTAGGTCTTCCCCCCAACTTTTATTTATTGCTCCCACACACCGCTCAGGGGTGGGGGCCGGGGGAGGACATTAGGTCCCCCCCTTATTGTTATTTAGGGCCCCCACCCGCCACACAGGTGTGGGGGCCGGGGGGAGGACATTAGGTCCCCCCCAACTTTTATTTATGGCTCCCACACACCGCTCAGGGGTGGGGGCCGGGATGGAGGACATTAGGTTCCCCCCCATTTTTTATTTATGGCACCCACCCACCGCTCAGGGGTGGGGGGGAGGACAGTAGGTTCCCCCCCCCTATTGTTATTTAGGGCCCCCACCCGCCGCACAGGGGTGGGGGCCAGGGGGGAGGACATTAGGTCCCCCCCTTATTGTTATTTAGGGTCCCCACCCTTTGCACAGGGGTGGGGGCAATAGTTTTTTTTGTTTTTTTTTACAGTGAGCAGCCACTGGCTGCTCACTGTTTACTAGACACGCCCTTACTCGCAGTATAGCGAGTAGGGGCTGAATTTACTAATACAAAGTAATTTTTACTTAGTATTAGTAAATGTGGCTGAAAGACCAATTTAGGTCTTTCAGTCTTTTGGTAGATAGCTCCCTAATACCGTGGGAATTCGGGAGTTATCTTCTAAGCGGCTGCTTATTTTGTTATTTTTAAGTGATTTCCCTATCCACATTTGTTTGCAGGGCACTTGTCCTACTCTTACCCCCATTTTACTTCCTTTTGCAGCCCTCTAGCCCTTTCCAGGAGTTTTTTAGAGCCATTTTTGTGTCCAAAAGTTTGGGTCCCCATTGATTTCAATGGGGTTCGGGGTCAAGTTCGAGCCCGGACCCGGACTTTTTTTCAAAGTTCGGCCGAACCCGGCGGACCCGAACATCCAGGTGTCCGCTCAACTCTAATCTTAACCTGTTAGCATGTCTGAAATTTTCTCCCCTAACTAAAGTGAACTGTCAGTCACTGTAACTCACAAATAAAGCCAATTTGGCCACTATTATGGAAAACATTTTAAACTGCTACACTCTATTATAATTTGGGCCCAGTTAGGTCACTGTGCTGCCCCTGCTGGCTACTCTATAAAAGGCAATTAACTACAGCTGGCAAGCCTTAATGCACAGACTGCTTTTGGTTTGCAGGTAGGAACATGAGATAAATCTGAGCTCATCTAAACCACATATTTACAACCTGTAACGCAATCTGCTTTTTTTCGTGAGTAAACATACATGTGGTTATGTGCATGTACAAGATTAATTTCTACATTTATTTCCATTCTATTTGTAAATTGATTGTGCCTCTCTCAGTTTAGTTTATTTTACCAGAAACTCTCTGGTATACCTGTCCCTTGAAAAAGACTTTACATTTAAATCAATACAATGTTATAGGTATGGAGCATTTTGAAGCATTTTATTGATGGGTCTTTTACTTCTCATCTCCCTGGTTGCAGTTGTCAGACTTGACATGATTTGATTTAGGCAAGTCTATGAAAAAAAAAAAATACTTATGGTTTTTAACCTTAACCCTTTCATGCAAAGGTTCTGCAATGTTTATGATATCTTTTTAAACTTTTGGCATGATATAACGAAGGTTAAAAGTCTGCCCAAAGTATGGAATTTTTATAGGCTGTCTAAATAACCTACTTTAAAAAATTTAGTAAGTTCACATGTTGCCCTAGGCAGCAAACTGTCTAAGCTCTGGGCTCTACGCAGCTGCCTGGAGTTGCCTTCTGGAATACTGCTTTGACCTGCTCTGGTTGAAACCCAATTTAGGAATAGTGTTGTCCAATTTCCCAGGTTTTCCAAGACACAACAGTTCTTCATTCTGATTTGCACAAAATAAAAAGTCCAATAATCAGCATATTCAAAGCAATTCCATTAGGATCATTACTCAAGTAAAGGGGATGGTCTAAGCAAAGTAACCTCTGTGTGCTGATGTAGTAGTCCTGGTACTACTAAACCTGCAGGCACGCTCCCTTAGTTCTATTTGAGAAGTTTGACCAAAATTGGGATTGCTCAGGCTCTTTTGACCTGACCTCTTGCTCATGTTACGAATGAAGAAATTTCACTTCCAAATTAGCAATATTCGTAAATGCCATTAGCTATAGAAGTGGAACTTCTGCATTAAAAATAAATGAGCAGAGCCACAGGTTCCTGCAAAACCCCTGTTATTTTTGGTCAAACTAACCAAATGACCAACATCGCCGGTACCTGATCTATTTAACTACTACTTTGCCATATAGTGGTTATGGTACTTTGCCCCTGTGAGTTGACTCCTGCAGCAAGTGTCCAACAGGACAGGGAAGCACTTTTCTTGTATTGTACATCAACATATAAAAGTAGTGCCTGGTAAGCCACATGGGGTTTATTCGCTGAACACCACATTATAGTGAACAAAAAATAAAACCGAATTGCCCATTTAAGGCTAACATCGCAAAGCTCTGATTTATATCGCACTTGGAGAGTTTTTCCAGTTCTGACAGTTTAGCCTAAACTTTGCAATTTTGATTTCAGTTCAAGGAATAAACCTTACAATGGTGTTTACCCACAGAGGTTTATACGCTAAATGCTGTATGTATTTTAGTGTAGTAAAATTAAATTAACTCTCCAATCTCTCCTATTTCTAAAAGCAAATTTAGTCTGAATCCAGTTAATTTTAAAATTCACTCACAAAACCTTATATGACTGGAACTGTCCCTTCCCATAACTGATTGCTTTGTTAGGAGGAAAATCCAGGCCTGCATAATCATGGGGTGCAAAACTATGCTAAAAATGAATTGCATTGATCAGCCCTTAAAACAATGGTCTTAATACTGCTATATTGTGTTACCCTTGATAAACTAATGTACTATTTGTGGTCTTCTTCCTCATCACAGGCAGTGACACCATCTTTCCCCCTTGCTGTATTTGACATTAAACCATCATGGTGACATTTTTGATAAAGGCCTTGTCCAATGTCTCTTCCTGGAACATAAGCAACGCTGGGGTGGATCAAGAGCTACTGTCTGACAGATGGTGGTGGCCTGGAAAAGACCATGCTCTTAAAGTTGGAATCATCACAATCCTAGGTTTCCTGATCATCTTGGGAAATTCATTTGTATTGATTGTTATTGCCTCATCCGTGTCCGGTTGGTCACGCAATAGTCGCTACATTCTCATTTCTCTGACTGGTACAGACGTCATGCTAGCCCTGATTGTAGTACCTCTAAATTTGTATGGAAGCTTAACCTTAGAACCTGGGGCATATGATGATGGGGAGTCACCAATTGGACCATACTGTCACATTGTGGCTTTTATCAACTCTTCAGTGTTTGCCTCTTCTATATATTCTTTGGCTACCATCAGCCTGGAGCGTTATGTTGCTGTATTCTTTCCACTGCACTACAACAGAGTAATGAGCCGACATCGGGTCAAGTTGCTTATTGCTGCAGCCTGGTTGCTGCCACCTGTTTTTCTCTTACCAATCTCTATCCCTGGTGGGAGAATAATACAAGTCTATTTTTCTCGGGCCTCACTTATTTGTAATCCAGACTATGCTAGTAATGTGGTTTACTCCCTTTTTCTAACAGTTGTAATATTTTTTCCATGCTCCGCTATAGTGACTTTTGCCAACCTGAGGCTTTGGCTGGTGGCAAGAAAGCAGAGCAGGCGAATGAGTATAGGCTGGACAGGGAGAAGCCCACCCTTGGACCTACCAACAGTATGTAGCAGAGTACCAGAAACTAGAATTGCTACAATCAATGAAAACCTTTGTCCAACCACGGAAATTGGAGACAAAGGCCTGCGAAGGGGAGATGCTGCATCAAGAGTGCTGGTTCCTGTGGTGATTGTCTTTTACATGTGCTGGACACCATGTATGGTCACCATTTTATACAATGGTGAGACAATTCAATATCTTTTTCACTTCTGGTCTGTGCAAGTGTTTTATGTAGTCACGTGGGTCTATAAAGTTTATTGAGCTTTGAAAATAATTCTAACATTCTATTCTGAAGCTGTATATTCTATTTTATTTAGATCTCAAAGCACTGTATGTCCCTGCAGGCTTTTTAATCTAAACATTGCCATTCAATAGAAAAGGTAGTGTTTACATTACTGCCTTGGGACACCTCCAGTGGCAGTCACTTGGACACCACTAGAGCTGCTTCCTGGGTCAGTGCTACATGGAGGCGCTGAACTCTGATTGGCCAGCACAGTGTTTGGCTTTGTCACCCACCCTACCTCCTTGGCTGTGATCGTCCGAACTGACTATCTCAACCAATCCAATGCTTTACTACGGGAACTGGGTGGTGGCAGAGCCAAATGCTGACAGGCCCACACAGAGCTGGAATAAAGGTGAGTTTTTATCCTATTTAAAGGGGGCGTATTCCTAACCCTATAGTGTTTAACCCACCATTTAGGTGGCTTAACTCCCTTAAGAGGAAATAAAACTCACCTTATTTCCAATGCTGCGCGTGTTCCATGGTGAAAGCATTGGAATGGCTAAAATCGGCAAGGGGCGGGGCCAAATGCCATATTGGCCAATCAGCAACTCCTCATAGAGATGCATTGGAAACGATGCATCTCTGAGGAAAATTAGGCATCCCCATGCAGAGTGTGGAGACTCTGAACGGCTACTGCGTAACACTGAGCCAGGAAGCCCCTCCAGTGGCCATCTGAGGAGTGGTCACTTGGAGGTGTCCCTTGGGGCAATGTAAACACTGCCTTTTCTATGAAAAGGCAGTGTTTGCATAAAAATGCCTGAAGGCAATGATTATACTCACCAGAACTATATTGAGCTATAGTTGTTCTGGTGACTATAGTGTCCCTTTAAAGTCCACTGTGTGTTTTTATTCAGTGGCATTGTTGGAGAGTTGCAAAGGAATTTGCAAGTTCTTGGCTAAACTGGAAAAAACACTTTTTTATTTTTAATCACTGCTTAGTAGATATAACCACTGAAGGAAAAATGAATGTTTTTAATTATGTATTTTTATCATTGGGTGAGTTACAACTTTATGCAGAAGCTGGAGATCTCTTATCTGTATTCTTTGCAAGCCCTCCCCTCCTCACCCAGCCCATACTTTTTGTGGCTGTCCAATCACACACTTTCCAATGCTTAAAGAGAAGTTCTCTTGGTGCTCTGGGCAATTGCTGCCTCTTCTTGGGATTAGTTCCAATGTTTGTCTGACTGTCAGGGGCGTGTAACCAGGTTAATTTCTATTGAAATCTGTACTTTCTGTAAAATGATTAAAAAAAATAAGCCAAATGTTTTTAGAGGTCTGGAGTGTCCCTATAACTATTTTTATAGCTTGGATATTTTGGCCTAGAATTTCAGTCCCCATATTAGTGAAATATCACCAATAGGTTGTCTTCAGTCCCAACAGGCCCTTAACCATGGCAGATGGCTCGCCATCAGGGGGTGACAACCATGACTGTTGTCACGGGCCCGGCGGCCCTGGGGGGCCCGGCTGCCCGGGCCCCACGTGAAACGGCGGAACTGCTGCCGGTGTATCTGCCTGAGCATTTAGGGCCACCCGATGAGCCCTATATCTTCAGGGGCCCGGTCAACGCTGTAATAGCGCGACCGGGCCCCTTTAAAAAAAATAAAATAAAATAGCAGCTACACCACAAATGCTTCTGGGAGGAAGTGACAGTTGGGAAGTGACTCTGCGCAGGAAGCCTGAAGGCCGCGAGGAGAGGAGAGGCAGCCGACTCCCATCGTCCCCAGACACCCTCTGGCAACGAAAAGGTAAGGAAGAGGAGGGTGGCTGAAAAATGAGGTGTGTGTGTGTGTGTGTGTGTGTATGTATATGTCAGTATGTGTGTATATGCATATGTCTGTCTGTGTATCTGTATCTCCTTATGCATGTGTCTCTGTATATGTCTGTTTCAGTATGTGTGTCTGTTGGTATATGTGTATCTTTCTGTTTATGTGTCTGTGTCCTTTTTTGTCTGTGTGTATTCCTGTGGGTAGCATTTGGAGGCCGGCCATGGGGGCGGGCTTGTAGGTGGGTACCCGGGGGCCCAGACATGGAGCTGTTAGGGGCCCCAAAATTTCTGATGGCGGCCCTGCTCGCCAGTACTGTCTTACAAAGGGATATACTTGGCCACTTGTCATGAAAGAGTTAACCTACACCACTCTTCCATTCATCCTGGCCAACTGAGAGCAGAACATGCAGGAAGAATGGTTCCAGTGCTCTCTGCAGGATACTAGTGTTGCACTCACGCTATGCTGTTGGGATATTTCCCTGGTGTTCCCAAAAGCTGGACATCAGAGATTGAAGTCGAATTAGAATCGCAAAATCTAGACTGTGCCACCAAAATCAAAACAGTTGGAAGGCCTGGTAAAACTATGCCCTAGTGTTTTCAGTGACCAGTCTATTTCATGTTCCTGCTGAAGTTCCCTCTGGGTTCACGTTTCCAACATGGAAAGATTAGAAATTGGAGTGGGTGAACCACTGGTGCCAGTGATGCAGTTTTTACCACTGGTACCACCATAAATGGGAAAAGTCAGGAAAAGGACAGGGCTGTCTAAAGAAGTGGCATGTCAGGCTGGCTATACTGACTGCTTCCCTGGTCGGCCCCTCTCAGAGCAGAACATGCACAGAGTGACAATTGACAATATACATTGACAATATAGTCAACAAAACAACTTTAGCTTAATGAAGCAGTTTTGGTATATAGATCATGACTCTGCATTCTCACTGCTCAATTCTCTGCCATTTTAGGAGTTAAAGGGTAACCACAGGAGGATAATCCTTCCCTTCATGCTCTTGAGAGTAAACATATGTTTTCAGAGAAAATGCAGTGTTTACATTATAGCATAGGGATAGCCTCAAGGTCAACTTGGGGGCAGGTCCATTCTCGACACCTAGGATGCGATCGGAAGAGACGCAATCTCAGGAAAAAATCAGGAGATGGGACTTAAAGACTCTGAGTTGCACACAGGGACCAATATTCACTGGTTGCTGTTTAAACCATAGCTTAAGGCTGTCCACATTTTACATCTTTTATTTTCAACGTGACCATAGGGATGATATTGAAATCTGACTCTATTGCTTAGAATGGTTGTACTCTAGCTTCCCGCACTAATCACAGCACTTATTGTCCTGCCATTTACAGTGCTTGCGTTCATGTGTTAAGTTTGTACGCGTCCACTCGGTTTTTGACCACTACAGCAGTAATGCCGTAAAGCTCAAATAGCATTAAACATAGCGCAGATTAGGTTTCCTCCCTTTACCCTAGAATAGTAGAGTAATAAGTAGTATGTGTTTTTTTTTTTTTTATACTGCGCCTCATATAATGACTTGGTTTTATGCTCTGTATGCAAAACTCCAATAAAACACAAATTGAGGGGGAGGGAAGGAAGAAAATACAGGAAGTGGGGTACACCCAGGGCCATTCTCTCCTTTCACCCAGTTGATTGAAGGTTTTAGATGTAATATAAAAATCTGAAAGTCCCAGGACAACTGCAACAGAACCAACCCCTGCTTGGGGGTTGGAAGACTAAAAATGATTGGCATTTATAGTCCCAACATATCAAGGGATATTTGAAGGTGACAAATGCTCTGCTTAATCAAACTTACAATATTTAGGAGACTTAGATCTCCAAAACTTCCTAATAAACTATAATTTTATCCCAATAGCTACACTCCATGAGAGGATAAAGTCAGTGTGGAGGATCTATGGCTACTTACGCCTTCTCTTGCTCTTTCTGGCTTGGTAGAAAGAGAAGGTTAAAGATTGGGTAACCAGCCTTAGTCCCACCACTGCTGCTCATGTGCTGAGAAGAAATAGGATGTCCTATGCAGAGTGCTTTTACATAAACTGGGATAATGTACTGTATATATTTTATTTTTTTGTGGTTTTGGAAACATCCATCCATCAAACAGCCCTATCTGGAAGTATGTAGTGAATAAATGAAGGAAGTTTTTAAGCAATTTAGGACAATGAGTATTTGCAAAATGTTCCTAGGTATAGCTTCATTATTTCTGCATTTTTAATAGAAAGACTGACCTTGAAAACATTTGTTCATTGTGTGGCAATTATTATGGAATTGTGACTGAATTTGAGCTATTTTTCCTTCTTTCTCAGCGATAACTCAGGAGAGGGTACCGGAATGGGTGGAGTTTGTAGCCTTGTGGCTTCCCAGTGGCAATGGCTTCCTTAACTGCTTTGTCTACTTCTGGATCAACAAGAGTTTCCGTCACAAATTCCGAAAACTGTGCCCTTGGTGCAGCGGCTGCAACAGTAAGAGAAGCAGAAAGACTGTACCCAAAAGATGTACCCATGAACATTGGATGAGCAACAGCTCTCCAGCATTGCAGGAGAGATCATGCAGTGTGTCTTCAACATGCATACTTCTTAATCTGTCGGGAGACACGTTTTTATGAAGGTGTCATGACTAACGAGTGACCTGAATGGTGTTACATTTGTATGATTTTAATTTTGCATTTGTTCCACTTGTAAAATGAGTAGTGCACTTTAAAACACGAGCCTGTGTTGCATCCACTCATGGACAGTAAATTGGCCAACTTGCCAAACATGTGCATGAAAGATTAGACCAAAACATATGGGTGAACCTGGCTTTAGCGTTGGAGCATGATGTTCTCTAATGCTTTGTGTTGTGCATTACATGTCGGGCGTCTAGTTTGTAAAGGAGAGAAGCATTGTTCTGTGCCAGTAATGTCCTCTTACGAAAAAAGCCTAGATATTTTAATTTTTTTCCCTGCTATTTCTGGTAGTACTATCTTGGATACATAAATGTGGTATACTACAGAAATCTGTTAGAGATATTTTATTGAGGACTACAGCCTCGTTTCACATCTGATTACACTGTACTGACAACTGTTTTACTGAATGACCTGAAATATGGCATATTTCATCAAGAACGTATGCTTCAAATCCTAAATCTGTGAAAACGTCTTGGTGTTGGTGTGGTGTTCAGATGCATGGTGGGTTTATGACTTTTTTTTGTTTTGTTTTTCAACATGACTTGGCATCACAGGGCCTTGGGAAGGTCTGCCCCCTTCAGATTGATTTTCATACAGTGGGAATCCCACACTGGAAACTTACTATTTTAAAAAAATAAATAAAAAAAAATGTGAGGGCATGCAGCACTTTCCAGATAATAAAGCATCATTCTTTGGGGGTTAAGTGCGCAAAGCTCAAAAGTAAATCCATAGAAACCTTACATTTGTTTCCATGGAAATTGCTGCAGTAGAATGTAGACCCAGGAATATTAATTGTACATAACCTCCACTCTATTTCTTTTTAGATTAAGCCATACTTGGTGGCAAATATATTCATGTAGGAAAACCCACATTATGGAATCTATACAGGATCACTTTTCATGTCAAGCAACGATTTTTGCCCACTTTGACCCCGTAAAGATCATTAATTTAAACAAAATATCCTTCCAATATGAACATTCACCTCCATGTTATAAATTGCAGTTCTGAGATACTGTGCATACCATATCTTAATGCAAATTGTTTTGTCAAATTCAGCCTATTAAATGCAAACAACTTTTTTTTTTTTTTTATGGTGCTGTGCACCCTCTGACATGTAGTTGGTTAATCAGATTTTAACCCATTTTTGAAGAGGCTGCAACAATTTCTGTTCAGTGAATGAACTAATGAGCATTAAGTTATGGCTTGCATATGGCCTCTATCTTCAGCATTACTGGGTCATCTGGCAGGCATGTGCTATGAAACTTAAAATATTTAATATGAAATGTTTGTTCTAAAGTGTTTTCCTGATTTGCTTTATATTTTATCACTGTTTAAAGCTATGTTTTGTTTTGTTTTTTTATTGTATTTTTCAGTGTTTGTATATATTGTTTATAAAGAAAAGAGAAATCAATAATAATGGAAATAAAGCTTCAGGCCTTGGATGGAAATGGGCTTTTTTGTATGTGTGTTAATCGTGACTCTTAATAAGGTTTTGGGGGAACACCAGACAATAACGGGTTTCTCTCTACTGACTTCAATGAAGGCTTACCATCCCTGTTTGCTTAGCCATTAATCTCGAAAAGATAGCTTTTTTTTTTTAATTTTTTTTAATTTTTTTTTACTTCCAAAACAGTGCAGTTTAACAAACGATTGAGGTGTTTTACGGATGACCATCTAAGAGGGCTGAATTTGCTCCAAAAAGTCCAATTTATTTTTGTTTACACTGTTAACCTTCCTTCCTCAACTGCCATGGGTTATTCTTTATTTTATTTTTTTTATGACCTACCTTTTGACTTGTGTTTATGGATTAAACCATTTTGGTGAAAACCGCTTGCCCTATTTCAAAAACTATTTAAAAAAAATAAAAATAAAAATTTAAAGCTATTTCTTGGACTACTGCTGTTGAAGATTTAATATTGGATTTGTGTGTACATTGCCATTGGGTTGTATGTGGGGTTACTGGTTTAGAGGTATAATTTTAAATACTGCTACGAGATTGCAACAATTCCTGGTTACATTTTAAGGCCCCCCCAAAAAACTTGCTGTGTACACTGTCCTATGTCTTGCCCTGAACCCCAAGTTACTTGAATGACATAATGGCAGTTATGTATAAGGCAGAGGCGGCTCTCTAATTAGGCAATTTAAATCGCCTTAGGGCAGACTGATATGTCAGGTCCTGTGTCTCTGACTGAGGACCCGACACAGGAGGGGGCCCGGTGGCTTGCCCTTTATGCCACCAGGTGCGAGGCCCCTCCACCTCTTTGCCCTGGAGGACAGCCAACCTCAGTCTGCCGCTCTGGACAGCTAGCCTCAGTTTTGTAATCCCTGGTAACAGGGATGTGCAGTTTGTATGCACATCCCTGATACAAACTGTGTGCTTTATATATATTTGCAATATATTATGATTACATACATGTAATACATACACTGCCTAATACATATACATACACACACACACACACACACACTGCATAATACATACACAGTCTAATAGACACACAAGCACAGCCACATACACACTGCCACATACATACCTACATACACACTGCCACATACACACACACTGCCACATACATACATACATACATACTCAAGTCCACCCGATGGCCTGTCTCCAAGACCATCCACATGACGCATCCGGAGTCCACTCACAAGGAAAAGTGTGTGTTTAGTGGATGCAAAATGTATGTTTGTGTGTACTAGATCTAGTGTGTACAGTGGATGTGTAGAGTGAATGCAGAGCATCTGTTTGTGTAATGGATGGAGTGTGTGTGTATAGTGAATGCATAGTGTTTGCACACTACATCCACTACACAAACAGATTCTTTTGCAGTCATTAGACAGACTCTGCAGTCACAATACAAACTATAGACTAGAGCCAGTGCACATACACAACTCGCCATTCACTATACTCTGTAATCACTATAGATGCACTACATTCACTATACACACTCTGCATTCACTACACACTCTGCATTCACTACACAGTGTGTATTTGTGTTGTGGGTTAAGTGTGTATAGTGACTGCAGTGTCTGAGTGTAGTGGATGTAGTGTGTGTGTGTGTGTGTATAGTGACTGAGGAGAATGTGTTTGTGTAGTGTGTGTTTGTGTATAGTGTGTACATAGGGAAACTGTCATAATTGTCATGCCCTGATGGCGACCCTGGGAATGGGACACATGGAGAGGTTGGTAGGGAATGAGACACATGGGGTTGGGAGGCCAGCGCAATTTTATTGGGGAGGGGGTTGAGACAAATGGGGGGGCAAGGCAATTTTCGTACCGGGCCCAGTGGTTTCTAGATATACACACTGCATCCCCTGCAAACACACAGACACATTGTGATAGTGACGGGGATGGGAGGGGGGCAGGGCAGTTTTCGCACCAGGACCAGCTGGTTTCTAGACACACTGCATCCCCAGCACCCACACACACAGGCACAGACTCACTGCATCCCCTGCACACACAGCACACTGCATTCCCCAGGACACACACACACACACACACACACACACACACACACACTCCATTCCTAGCACACATACTGCATCCCCATCACAGACACATTGCATCCCCTGCACACAGACACTACAACCCAGCACACTCACATACACATACTACTTCCCTTACACAGGCACTATTTACTACATATACTACACAACATAGATGTGCGTGTGTTTTGGTGAGGAGCCCATGCAGCACAATGTCTTGAGTTGGCCCTGCATCCTACTGTATGTACTCAAACAAAGAATGTGACGGCAGATCAGAACCATTCGGCCCATCTAGTCTCCCCAATTTTCAAAATACTTTCATTAGTCCCTAGCCTTATCTTATCGTTAGGATAGCCTTATGCCTATCTCACGCATGCGTAAACTCCTTTACTATGTTAACCTCTACCACATCAGCTAGAAGGCTATTCCATGCATCCACTACCCTCTCAGTCAAGTAATACTTCCTGATATTATTTTTAAACCTTTGCCCCTCTAATTTAAGACTATGTTCTCTTGTTGTGGTAGTTTTTCTTCTTTGAAATATGGTCTGTTTTACGGTGTTGATTCCCTTTATGTATTTAAATGTTTCTATCATATCCCCCCTTTCTCGTCTTTCCTCCTAGCTATACATGTTAAGATCCTTTAACCTTTCCTGGTAAGTTTTATCCTGCAATCCATTAACCAGTTTAGTAGCCCTTCTCTGAACTCTCTAAAGTATCAATATCTTTCTGAAGATACATTCTCCAGTACTGCGTACAATACTCCAAGTGAGGTCTCACCAGTGTTCTGTACAATGGCATGAGCACTTCCCTCTTTCTACTGCTAATACCTCTCTCCATACAACCAAGCATTCTGCTAGCATTTCCTGCTGCTCTATCACATTGTCTGCCTACCTTTAAGTCATCAGAAATAATCACCCCTAAATCCCTTTCCTCAGATGTTGAAGTTAGGACTCTATCAAATATTCTGTACTCCGACCTTGGGTTTTTACGTCCAAGATGCATTATCTTGCACTTACACACATTAAATGTCATTTGACACAATTCTGACCATTTTTCCAGTTTATCTAAATCATTTGCCATTTGACTTATCCCTCCTGGAACATCAACCCTGTTACATATTTTAGTATCATCAGCAAAAAGACATGCCTTGCCATCAAGACCTTCTGTAATATCACTAATAAACATTAAAAAGAATGGGTCCAAGTACAGATCCCTGAGGTACCCCACTGGTGACAAGCCCAAGCTTCGAATATACTCCATTGACTACAACCCTCTGTTGCCTGTCACTCGGCCACTGCCTTACCCATTCAACAATATTGGAATCTAAACTTAAAGATTGCAATTTATTGAGAAGCCTTCT